TTTTTTTTTTTTTTTTTTTTATCCATCCGAAATTGGCGGCTAAAATCTCTCTTTTGTTCCAGTTTCCCCACGCAGATCAACCCAAACAGTACCCACGTAAACATGAGAGAAATACGGTTTTTCTCTAGGGTTGGTTTTTTTTTTTTTTTTTTTTTTTTTTTTTTATCAACATCGAACTAATTTCATTAAATCGTATCTCCTGTAAATGTACCACCCAGCCCTCCCGCCGCCGACCCATATCCGACCTACCAAAAAAAAAATAAATAATAAAAAACCCCGCGGTTTGAACCTGTGCAAAATATCGTTGTTGTTGTTTTTTAATTTAAATATTTAATATTCACAAATAGAATTAAAAAACCCGAAACAATATGAAAATCATAATAATAATATATTGTATAAATATGACCGTCGTTAAATTATCATTGGACACTGAAATGTACGGCACGAATGCGATTCGTTAAAATCCGCGGAAACCGTCGGGGGAACGGGCGATTTCCGCGGTGCTGGCTTTTCGAATGCGCTCCGATTTCGTTAAACTCCGACGTTGATTTCCGACGTACCGGCGAACGCCCGAAGACCGATGACATTTACCGCCCGTCCGCCGACCACCACGGACAGTGTGTGTCCGTGTACTCGGTGCAACTACCCCGTAGTGCGTATCCGCGCGTCCGATCCGCGCGCCCGGGCATCTTCTCCGACTGCGGGACCAACTTCGTCGGAGTTTGATTTTTTTGTATATTATTCTGTCTAGTAGCCCGAGGTATTTTACACACAGTGTAACGATAGAAATGAAAATCCGTTCTAGAATAATGGAGACGGGAGCAGCCACTGTTACGAACGACGTCTCCTGGAAGCACCTTCCCGGTGAAATTCCCTTTTAGAAAAATTGTTATCATTAAAAATGTCGGAGCGAAATTGCCGGTGGAAAAGTTATCCGCGGGGACACGAAATAGCCGAAGGGAAATCAGATTTCGCGGAAAACTCGTACAGGCGAGCCGATTTTGTGCGGTCACGGCGATTTTTAAATTGCAGCGTTCCACACGATCGAAACGATATCGAAAACGGAAACCGACAAAACGCGCAATAATATCATTTGGTCACGTGGAGAAGAAGCGTGTACGATTATCGAACCGTATCGATTTTTACCCCCTGCTGCACCAGACATAATAAACCGTTTATTTCGCGAAACCGAACAGATTTTCCGATCGATTCGCTCGCCCGCATCCGTATTTTCTCGCTTTATGTTCTAATATTTTTGTTTTGTTTATATTTAAACATTCGAACGTTACAAAATAATATTTTTCGTCGAGCGATTTTTGTTTTTGTTTTTTGTTTTTTTTTGTATTTTTCGTCGATTCCTCGATTCTCCAGACCGTTGCGATAAAATCCCGGTTTCCCGTGCGGACATGAGTGCGCGGCCAATTCGATTTTATAATTCGCAAGTTCGATTCTCAGACCGGATAATGGAATAACGTCGGAAGCCTTGTCGGAGTGACAGTCTGTCGGCAGTCGTTATCGTAACACAATGATTCGATAACTCAACCGGAGTCGGTTTAGAGGTTTTACGCGTTTTATAAAACACAGAAGGTATTTCAAAAGACGCGTCACGAAATCTCGAGACCTAACGACACGAACGCTACACCCACGGGCCGGGAATAATGTCGTTGTGTGATTCGATAATATCCCGCCGAGCTGCGTAATACGGAGAATTTCGCTGTCGGCACATTTGAATGAAAACACGTTGTATCGTACGATACTGTAAAATAAAAAGTGATGAATTATTTCTCAGAAAACTATCTCATACATAATGAAAAGTTTGAAATGACGTCACAGGATAATACGGACGGGTGCGGCCACTGTTATAGATAATTTTTCGTACACCTGTAATCAATTATAAACCATTGCTTACGCAAAAACGATTCTAAGCTGAGTTCAGTGGACAGTGATACTCTTTCGACAATGTATATTATGCCATTTTATAGTAAAATAATTAAATAGGCCTTATGTACTTTCCTTAATAATATATGTTTAATGTTGTACCGATTTTCCCAGTTTTCCTGCGTTTTCACGAAATTCCCGTATTTTATCACGGTTTTTCACATTTCCTCCGGAAAACTCCGAAGAAAATCGAAAAACGACCTCTCAAAAGTATTATCTGGACAACATTCCCTTTCAGAAATGCTGCTGCGCGTGTATATCCGAGCAAGATTTCTGGTAGAAATTTCGTACACAGTAAACAAATAAAAAAATAATAATAATTAAACATCTTGGTAAAATCAGTACGTCCTACTTCGCTGCATTCGGAAACCCAAAACGAAAGTGAAATGAGATCTCACGTATCGATACAACCTATGATTGTACGTAAGTCTGAAATAAAACAGTTTACTATGCACAGAGGTTTTCAGGCTCGAATCGAATAACTGTTACGTTAACCGCAAGAGTAAAATATTTTCTTTTTAATGCCGATCAACAATCGAGTAGATCCGGTTCGGTGCTTATGACGTTGTCCAATTAACGTGGAGGCGAGTAGACTATATACACTGGATGCACCGCCCGCTTTTTGTTATAGCTGAATTTTCTCGGTGTGACCAACGGTCGTAAAAAACGAATAAAACATAAGAAACTCACCAATAAACGTCCGTGTACAGGAATTCCGTTTTGAACGTTTGAATACAATGTGAACTTTCGTGTTTTTTTTTTTTCGATTAGAATTTGCTTTCTTATCTCAGTCGGTTAATCCGAACCGACCTAGCCGAAACATACGTAAAATGAAATACAGTCACCTACAAAGTGATAACACCGACGCGAGTTCTTCTTCGTTTGTAGTTGCAGCACTTTCGAAAATCCCTACGGAATGCACGGCGGTCAATCAGTGACCGTCCATCGGCTCAACAAGCGTATTATACGCGCCGTGCGCGTAAACGACGACTCCGATTTTACCGCCGAACAGTCCGGCCGATTGTCATATTACCATATATGGAAAACTACGTTCTTCTGGTCTACAGAAGGGGGAAAAAAAACGTAACAAATAAAAACGAACATCTTTGTCAAACCAAAATTTCCTCCGATCCGCTGCGAAACAAAAACATATCCTGGCGACACGTGGAGCACCTAGTCGGCCCTCGTCACACTCGTCCTATCGCATTGAATTCTCGAAGCGACATTACGCTACAGCGGCCCAAAAACACAACTGGCAAAACTGCCAACGGAATAAGTATTTTTTTTTTTAGCGCAATTACAATATCGAACGCGACGCACGCGCGAAACCGGAAACCCGAAGACGGCATAAAAACTCAAACGACGGCCGCCGTTGGCCACCGAATTTATCGCCGAAATCGTTTTACCCGTTCGAGTTCGGGTCGCCGTGTTTCGTTTTTTTTTTTTGTTGCCGTTTCTTTCACTCGCGACCGATTATCAAACGGAAACTTTGCCACGAGTGGGTGGCGACCGCCGCACTCGTTTACCGCGTTCACAAGCGACCCCGGCGAAACGCTCGTATCGCACCGTTGGTTTTCACCGTTCTCGTTTGATCCCACGCGTCCGTTTGCCGTTTTCGGGGCGCTCGTCGCGTTTTTTTTTGTGTGCGAACACCGCGACCGTCCCGAAATCCGCGCGCGGAAAGAGGGGAAAAAACCCGTTCGGCCCGGCCATTTGGCGTACCGCGTGACCACGGGACCGGCCGATCGGGTCGCGGACGGGCACGCCGCGTATGCGAAAACCGTTGTCCGCGACTACCCCGTTTTCGGATAACGGTTTCCGACGAAAACCGCCGTCCCGGGAAGCGCGTTAGCGGTCCGAGATCAATTGAAACGACAAAACGATAGAAAAAGATACGGCGGGTGTGGGGTAAAGACGTCCTATGATAATGGAGACGGGCGCGGCCGCTGTGATGGGCCACTGTAATGACGTATGCCGGTAAGCATCTCGGTCGCTTACGAAAAACACCGACTCTGAACAGAGTTCGGTTGACGCTTTGTCGACAGTCAAACGGGCTTTACACGTTTTTTTTTTTTTTTTTAATGATATTTGTTTAATGTCGTACCGTTTTTCCTACGTTTTTCCCCAGTTTTTCACATTTGCTGGGAAAAGTCCCGAGAACAATCGCCTCTCTAAAGTACCTGTCCAGTCTGATATCCTTTTAGAAACATTGCTATCATCATCGATTGGAACGAAATTGCTGGAAGAATAGTGGTCTTTGGGAAAAAAAAAAAAAAAAAAAAATTCGCTCCACTTAGAATCTAAAATAAATACGGACTTGAACGCAAACGGCGTAATAATGTTCGGTGCATGGGGCTGCTCGTGTATACATAATAATCTGTCCGGACCGAAAATGCGTTTCGCGTTTAAAGATTTTCCGTGCGGTTTGTACACGCGTACGAGTGTACCGAATTACGCGCGTTCCTATGAAAGCCCGTGGGAAAACACATTCGAGTTGTCGGAAAACAAAACGCATTGCTTAAACGTATTATTATCACTGTCATTATGGCCGAACGGAAGATGTTATTTTATTTTTCTCCTGGTGCGTCCGTGAATTGTATAGATTTTTTTTTTTTTTTTATTTGCTTCCGAGTTATCGAAACTCGCACTACTGCTAAATATATATCGGATCCAACCGTTCTCGACTCCAAGTAGATAAAAGTGATGTTGTCATTATAAATATCGAAATAGACGGTCGCGGACTGCGACGTTTATACGTGCGTAACCGAAAAATCGCCTCTAAAACCGTCGGTCCTCGCGATGATAGCGTTACCGGAAACCACAAGCGACGATAGTCGCCGCCATGAGCTATTGTGACGGTAGCGGGCGAACTTTAGTGACAGCAGTTATCACACTATCGTTTGTTTGAAATGAGTGAAACCCACTAAGTGCGTGGCGAACTCGTCAAAGTATTCAATTATTACCTATCGTCGTATTTTATACCGTCGTGACGGTATCGCATTCTATCCGTATCCACTTCACTCTGCAGTCAATGGTACGCGTCCGATGTATTTCTCTTGATAACCCGGAGAAAAACTTAGCGAAAAACGTCACCGTTAACGGGTACATTATTATTATATGTTTTTTGTTATTTGGTTAAAAATATTCACCATGGAAACCCGAAAATTTCATGAAACACTTGTAATAGCCTTTCCTAGACCTTGTACAATTTTCTAAACATTCTAAAATATGTTGAGCTATTCATAGACAAAAAATAAGCAGTCGAGCATAACGAAGTTTTTTTTTTTTTATGAACGTTTTTCGATCACATTTTTACGAAAACCGTAAAAACTACGGTGATTTTAAAACGTGTACGTCATAATTTTGCTCAGAATCGTATTCCGATTGTTTTACCGTTGCGCGCGAATAAAATACTTTCACACGCAATAGTGCTACGCCGGTCCGCAGTATATTAGCTCTTCTCTCTCTCTGAAAATTGCTTATGGATCGACCCGGACGTGTTTTTTTTTTATTATTATTATTATTATTATTTCATCGCGAGACGGTTGATCAGAAGTCTTTTTTCACCCGTAAAAAAAAAAAAAAAACGATAATAATAACTACAACCGTGCACTGTACGCGCGCGCAATCTAACGCGATTATAATTACTCGTTTTCGGTAGGTAATCATATCCGCCGTCCCGCTCTCCGCCCTTCCGTTTAATCTCCGGCCTTCGGCGTTGTTTTCAAAATCGTCGTTGCTGTTATTACGATTTCCCTCACCCTCCTTAAATAGTTATTATTAAACACCCACGCGTTACGAAATCCGTCGGTATACGCCGGCAACACGCCCGGACCGGCCGTCGTTTTCTCTCCGCGCGACCCGTGACGACGGTACGTCACGTAGATTTTTTTTTTCAATTAAAACTTTTTATCGTTTTTTTTTTTTTTTTCCTCAGACATTGATTAACCGGCCGTTTGATTTAATCTCCATACATACCTTTATAAGTAGGATATCAGCTACTAGGATATCCGACCCGATCGTGTTGCGCGCCGCGTGAGCGTCACCGGTATACCTGTGTACGGTGTGTGTTCGTTCGTCCTTTTGAAATGTTTTTTCTCATTTAAAAAAAAAACGTAATTTTTATCCCCGGTATCCCGCCACTCGTGTGTGTATGTATATACATTACAACCGTTTTGATTAAAAAATTACCGTCGCGTCTACAAAAAGAAAAAAAAAATCCTTATACAGCTAATCATCGTCCAAAACGGATTTCCGTTTGAACACATAATTAAAAACCCCCCTCGTCTATATTACATTATCATAATACGCGTAACATAAATAGACGCTCGCCGAGTGGAAAATCCGTCACACGGAAGCTTTTTCGCAGATTACGTTTCGTGGATACCTAGCCGCCAACAGGCGCGGCCGGGTATTTTCAACGGAAAGGGGGGGAGGGGGGGTTTGTAGCAAAAGAAGAATCGTCTTCTCTACGGCTGCTATTATGAAAAAATCGGTACTCGATTCGAAATCCAGATGATGAAAAAAAAAAAAAAACAAAAATAAACGATTAAACGTCTTTGTAAAACCACGAGCCTCTTCGGTCCGCTCAGAATCAAATATCACGTAAACGTTTCGATAGCAGGTCGTGGAAATTCGAATTTCGACGAGTCCCCGCCCCGCCGGGAAAATAATAATAAAAAAAAATACAATACATTATAAATTGTAAACCGTAAAAACAAAAGTCGAAAAAAACGAAATGCGAAAAAAAAACCGTCGTCGTCGCCGGTGGCGGTCCGTCGGCGGCGGCGGCCGAGGGGTCCCTGATCGTCTCGGGACGTTCCGAAACACCGCCGTGATACCGTAGTAATAATAATAATAATAATAATAATGTGGCGACACTGTGCACGCGTATAAATATTGTGCACGTGCGTTTTATACACGAACCTAAAATTGCACCTCGGGGGTTATCGCGAGCGCGGTTCGGAATAAACAACAAAAGTAAAAAAAAGGGGGGGGGGAAGTTGACGGGACGGGGTGCGGCCGGGCAGGCGGGATGTGGACGTCGCGCGATACGATGAGAAAACAACGGTGTCGCACGACCGGCGGTGCTTTGGGTCCGTTTTCACCGCCGTCTGCCGTCGATTCGTACGCATCGCGCGGTACCGGGTAAAACGCGGCGGGATGCGACGACCCGTTACGCGGCGACGGAAATCGTCGGAACCCTTAACTCGCGGCGCGTCATGCGCGGGACGGTCGCTTGTCCGTTGTAATAATAACGACAACGCGCGTTCATTTTTCTCTGTTCGCTAAAAACCCGAATCGACAACGTTTCTGTGCATTAATAATAATAATATTTTACTGCGCGAAAACGTCAAAAACGGGTTGTGTACGATTTTCCGTTATTTTTACCGAAATTCGTCCGAATCCTGCCGACGCAATTTAAATAGAAAATCAGGTCGCCAAAATATAATTGTAATTTTATGGAGTTGTAAAAAAAAGTAATTGTATCAAACGAAAATGCTGTACTCGCACGAAGAAAACAATACGGAAATATACTACCACTAGAGATATTATTTGATGAAAATACTTGATTACATTTTTTTTTGTTTTTTAACATTATTTCCGATCGTAGCAAATACTTATGAATGACCTGTGAAAAATATATTTTTGTTAACTCTGAAGTTCTTTTTTTTAATTAAAAAAAAAACATATCTCACCGATATTAACTGTAGGCTGACTAAGAAAACCATAATAAGTCATTACAAAAACCATAAGGTGTCCTAGTTAATGATAATGGAGACGGGTGCAGCCACTGTTGTGTGGTGGAAATTTGGGAAGGAAGAAGACAGAAGGAAAATCAATTAGTATCCGCAAGCAATGATAAATCATTGATTACTAAAAACGGTTCTGAGCCGAGTACAGTCGATGGTGAAAATATAGTAAAACAGTTTAACAGGCTTCGTATATTTTCTCTAATAGTTTTGAAAGGAAATTTCCTTTCAGAAAATGGTCTAGAAAAAGTTTTCACGCAACGAAAAAAAAAAAAAAACCAAAAAAAAAAAAAAACGCACACGTACATCTCGGGTGTCGAGAACGACGACGGACGTCGCGTTATATTATCGGGACGCGGTGTGAAAATCACGAACATTGTGATTTATAATGCGCGCCGGCGGTCACAGACGGTACCCCCCACCACCCTCCGAGGGGAAATTTCGGTTCCGAGGGGGAGCATCGGGCACTAAGGGGGAGGGGGGGCTAGTGTCTGTGAAAACGTGGAACGACGGTGGAAAACCGCACGCGAATACGCGTGAAACGGCGAGCGAATGACCGGTTTAAGGCGATCGCCTAGTGTAAATGGCGAGCCCGCCGGGTTTCGTTACGCGGTCGCGTCGCCGTGAACGGCCGCCCGAGACGGTCAACCGGCGCAGACAGATGACAGTAAAACGGGACGCGAGCCGAAGGAGACTGGACGCGGCCCGTCGGAACGCGGAGTAAACGGCGTGAAAACCGAGTTTTCCGTATCGCGGGCCCCGGCGGAAATTCGACGACGACGACGGCGTCGTTGTACCGTAACGTTATTATATTTTATGCGGTTATACCCTCGGCCGTGGTTTTTTTCCGTTCCCTCCCCGCCGTCGGTAAATCACTGAAAACGCGGCGCCCCACTACCGGCGCGTGTATAATAAAAACTGACGAAGTAAAAAAAACGTTACACGCCCGGAGCCGGTGCGGCCGCTCCGCACCGACGAGGGACCCCTCCTCTGCCGCGGGGCCGCGGTATATTATTTCTTCATTACGGGTAACGCCGAAATCGTCGTCGCCGCCGTCGTTATTACGCGATATGACTACGCCGCGTTATTATTATTATTATTGTATTTTATTTAACACCTACGCCGCGACAACGACACGGAAACTCCATTAAACGCTCCGTCTCGCGCCACCCACCCACGTCCGCCGGCGACTCCGCCGCGCCGCGTTTTCGGGTACGCAGCGTGTCGCGGCCGCGCCGACGGCGAAGACGACGCGCCGCGACGTTCGCGACAGTGGCGCCGTTGCCGTACGTGCACGGCGCACCGTTTTCCGCGAGCGCCGCGTGAAAACGGACGTCGCGCGATCACGCGCAACGCGCCAACGGAAAACGCGTTTACGGGACGGAGCGATCGAAATCGCGACGGCGACGCGGAGACCGGAGCGGGCGAACGCTACGATGGATAACGTGCGTCGACCGTCGAGTGTAACGCGGAACGTAACCGTTGTTTTGCGAACGCAAAAAAAAAAAAAAACCACGTCGCCAAAATATTACGAGTTTTCTCGCGGTGTTATTCGCATTCTAAGGAATAACAGATAAAAAACAACATCCGTTTTTCAAACAATTCTGTTCCAGTGTAACAAATCTTACCACAGTATGCGGACCGAAAAAAAAACAAACGTACAAAACCCGCAAAAATAAAATGCCTATAAATAGCTTCGACATTTTTTGAAAATTCGACCACGTCTAAGAAAGGCAAACACAAGTTTTTTAAAACAACAGCATTATTTTCGTAAATCTCTCGTTTTTCTTACGTTATATTCTGATTTTTCCGGGATATTGTGAAAACCGCTTGGGAAATCAAAAAAACCACCTCCCCGCAATACCGTTTATAACATTCCGTTTTCAGAAATGGTACCGGGCGTACATTTCCGGTAGAATTTTCGTACGCGGCGTACAAAAATAAAACAAGTAAATAACGGCGGTCTTTCGTATAACCAATTGATTCTTCGCTACACTCGGAATTGAAATCAATATCAACAATTAACATTTGAAAACGCTATAGTTTTACGAGAAATCCGAGTACCCTCTCGTAGTCATACCGAATAATAATTACCCGGCGGTAATAGAGGAGGTGTGAGTATGTTTCGGGTAGTTTGAGGCGTTGTCGGAGGCGTTCCCGCGTAATGACACGTACCATACGTCGTTCGCGGAACGAAATTTCAATTTCGTTTCCGTTTAATGTTCCGCAACCGTACGATCCGGCAGTTCGCATCGTCTCTCCCGTGATTTCAAAACGGCTTTGAATACCAAACGCACCGATCTCAAATCTATTGCGGCGCATTTGGACGGCGTTGCGGGGCGCGCAGTCGCCACTCGTATACATATTTATGGACGCGTCTGAACTGCCGTTTCCCGCTGTTAATGTTCGGTTTTGAGCCGCCGGCGACGAGAAATCCAAAAACCGAACCCCGCGACACTGCGGGCCGCCCTAACCGGTACGCGGTTTTCGCGTTTCGAGGACGCAATACGCGCGCGCAGAGAAACGTTCGTCGCCAACGGTTACGAAACGGCCGGCGAACGGATTCGCCCGGGCGGCCGCGATAACCGTTACGTCCGGCGTTCGCCGGACGAAACGAAAACGCCGTAAAACGCGATTGGCGCCGGTCGACCGGACGGTGGGTGTTTTCGCCGTCGAGTTTCGGCCGTCGCCCCGAGTATCGCAATAAAACACGATTTAGTGACCGTTGCCGTTGTTGCGACGCCGTTTTTGCGGGGCGGCGTTTTATCGAGAGACCCCGGCGGTATACTACCGCGGCGGCCGGCGTAAAATAATAATTACCGAGATCTAATCGCGGCACACGATAAATTACACGGTAATAATATTACCGACGCGGCGGCGGCGGCGGCGTTGCGTTGCGTTCGTCGGGGTCGACCTCCAAGAACGCCGCGGTTCCGATATAATATTACAATACGTCTCCCCCACCCGCCCACCCAACGCGTCCGCGCGCGTTATTAACGATTATCATTCGACGGCGTACATAACGCGAACGGCAATACAATAAATACCCCGGCGTCGTCGTCGTCGTTGCTGTCGCCGTCGCGCCCGCCGTGTCGTTATTACCGTTATCGTTGTTGTTGTTGTCGCCGTCGTCGTCGTCGTCGTCGTCGTCGTCATGTACGGCGCGCGGTAGTAATGCACCGGACGCGCCGTACGCGCGTCGCACGCGTTCGTTGACCGGCCGACCCGCGCGGCCGTAACGGCTCGGACGCGGGCGAACGGGGGCGGGCGCGGCGAATCGGTTTCTCGCGTGTCGTCCGCGCGCCGGGGTCGCCGGAGTCGGCCGTCGGGTACACGGCGCGCGCGTGCGTACCCGCCAGTCGCGATGATCGTTCGGTGTGCGGAGCGGAAAACGCGGCGACGACGACGACGACGACGACGCGTCGCCGTTTTTTCTTTTATTTTATATTTTCTTAATCCTCCGTCGCGCTTTTAAAAAAAAAATCCACGCTGACCGACCGGACACGACGGCACCGTAATTCTTAGGACAAATCGTAAGCCTGACGCGTAACGACGTTTTCTCGCGATACATTCAATACCGGCGGCGGCGTTTGTTCATACATTTTTAGTGAAAAATACCTCGGGCACAACGCCTATTGCACAGCCGGGCAGTCGCACGGCTAATACGTTTTTAAAACCACTGATTCAATCGTACACATCGTTGGTTGGCTAGCGCGCGAAAAGCCGAACCGTGAAACCAGAAAACCAGAAAACAATTCGCAGAAAATCAAACATAAGCACTCTCGAAGTGTACACTTGAAATTTTTATCGCGTAACATACATTTCCAAGCTCCCGATCCTAAAAAAAATAAGTGCCGAACCCAGGTAAATGGCGGCGTTCGCTGTTTTTTAGAAACGCCAAAATATCCGGTTCAAAATATGTGGTCCGTCTTATCGGAATACCTATCCATTCGCAACTTTGCTTATAAAAAATAATTACAAGTTTAAACAGTAATTTTAATGAACAAACAAACACTGGACGTACTTTAAAAATAACAAGAAGTCAAACCAACAAAATACTGAAAGGCTTAGAGATGATATCATGTAGGGACCTGAGCGGTCCAAAAAGGTCATGCCACTAAATCTAACCTACCTGCCAGGGTGTTACTGTGCAATCATTTGTCTCAGACATGTTGATGAGACGTTCTTTTGAAACGTGTAACATTACAAATTGTGTTCCATTTAAGCACGTTTAACATACCTGAGACAGGTAATTCAACATCAAAATGTTGAAATATTATTAAGTCATGTATAAGTTATACATGCCGGTACATGTTGATCCGTTTAAATGGATACACTCATTATCTCGGAAATTATTAACTTTTTTTCGGAATTTGTTTTCTAGAAAATTTAAGAAACAACCAGATCACCAATTTTATATTACGCAATTTTTTTGTAACCTTTATTTTTGAGGGTAAACCCACTTGATCTTCGTACGGGAACCTATAGTAGAAACTCCAGAAATAAGCGGAGTATTGTTTAAAATAAATTTCAGTGTTGAAATTTTTGATTTTCGTCAATCCGTTAACGAGATATTCCACATTTAATGTTGGGTTGGAGAAGAGCAGTGGAGTATTATTTGTGTAGCGGTACGGCGCGCGGCGTGTTAATTATGTACCTTTTAAACTTTAAACTTTCGAATGCCCGTCCATAAACACTGGTTTCTTTGTTTGGCAAAGGAAAGAATACTAATGGAATATAATGACCGTTGTTAACCGTACGCGTTGTGAATAATATCGATGATAAAAATATTCAGGACATTAAGAAAATGTCCCATCCATAAATGTTGTTTTTCTTGACAACAGGGACGTTTTAGGCTAGTCACTGTTTTTAAATGCCGTTATTTTATTTCCAATATTATTTATGGATAGGTACAAATTCTTCGTTTTCGTCCGTAAATGTGTTAATTGATAATTAATTTTCGGTCAATGTCGGAGTCCTTTTTCATCTAGCTCTATATAAATATCGTCATATATTCGATGTCATCATCAGTTTTAAAATCGTCAGTTTATTAGATATTTCCTTTGCTCGTTACTTGTAACGGCTTATCTGTTAAACCGTCCGTTGCTTTCCGTTTCACTTGATTTGAAATAATTTGCCGTTCCAGGTGTTCAGGAGGAGTACGACGGTCGTGTTTAATTTCTTCGAATAAAAATTGCCGTTTCACCCTCGTCAAGGTACGGCTCGGAGTTGAAATTTTTCTTTGCGCACATCCCATTTTCGTCCTTTTTTTTTCATCGAGTTCTTTACAAGAAAATTTACAGTTTTGGTCAATGATCGGTTCCTTACCACGTTCACTTACAATTACGTCCGTTGTAACTATTATTTCTTAAATCGCTGTAAAGAACACGAATCGCGACTTTATATACACTATACTGACAATTCTCCCGCGCTAAACGGATAATATTCGTCAACGCATGTTTGTCTTCAAATGATACCGAATAACATTGTTGTAAAATCAACGGATTCCCGGAGTATAACACGCACGGCAGTATTCGGTCGGTATTGTTCTGTGATGAGCCGTACGCGAAATTTTTCGTAGGATTTCAACAGGTCGATCGATCCGATCGATCGGCGCAACTGACGCGATGTAAACATATTTACATTCGAGTATCGATCGGCGCGATCGATGCACGCCTTTTTTGTACCGGCGCGATAGATGTATACATACAATACAGGTAGCGTCCCCACACCCGGCGCAATTGACGGTCGCCGTTACAAAACCTATGCGAACCTTACGAAGAACGACGTGCGTTTCGATCGTTAATGGCCATTAATAATGCGCCGCGCGATACAATATAATATCGTGATAATAATAATTAAAAAAAAAAAAAAATCAGAAAACAACGACACGCATAGTACTGCTATACACTGTGCAAACTCGTACGGGGTCCACGATGTAAATTAGAAATTAATTTGATTAAAAAAGTTTTTATTAACATTTTTTTTTTTTTTGTTTTTTTTTTTTA